TAATCGATGTCCTCGATGTAACCAAGCTGTTTTTCATGCTGAATCAATTCCAGCAGCTGGAAAACAATGGCATAAAACTTGTTATCGATGTGGTATATTTATTTTATTTTATGTTAATTTTAATTCGAGTATTTATATTTCAAAGGTCTTTGCAAGAAAGCGTTAGAAGCTATGACAATGGCTGAACATGACGGTAATGTATTTTGTAAACAATGTTATGCTCGTAAATATGGTATTCGTGGTGTTGGATTTGGTGTTGGAGCTGGAGCACTTGCCATGGATACTGGAGATCGATTCGGAAATACTGAATCACTTCCGTATGTTGATATTTATATATATATATATACAGAATGTTTAAACTTGAAATTTTATTATGTTTTTTTCAGAAACAAACCAAATTATGCTACACCTCCTGGTGCTGCAGCAGCAGCAAACAAAAATAATGCTCATGACGAATAAATATATTAACAATTTGTTCGATGCATAAACGAATAATAATAAAAATAATCTATCAGACAAAATTGATTTTTTGAATGTACTTTTTTTTTCTTTTATTGGCCTTTTCTTAGTTATATTTAGATCTTTTCATTTGTTTAATTTTTGTTCAATTAATAAAATATGAAAAGAGATTGACATATAGTCAATATTCATCAAAATATCATCATTTTGTTCTCAAGATAAGATCCCTTTCGAATAGATTTTCAAAGTATAATTACAAACCATCTTGAAAGTGGGTGTGGGTCAACGAATTTTCTCTTAGAATCATCACTGTAGTTTATATCTAATGAAATCTCTTTTAACAATTGTGAATACATAAATAATTGATCCAATGCATTCAAACCATGATCAAGTAAATGAACGAAATCCAAAATATTGACCGAAGTCATATTATAATCACACGAGTGAAAATCTCGTTTTAAAGGCTTTCACAGCTGATCAGTTTCATTTTCGACATAAGTAAGGAAATCAACATATTGATCAATGTTCTTAAACATATAGATTGAATTGATACTAGTTTCAAGATTAATAATTGAGTTTCGATAATAATTTTTCAATTTATTGATATTACAATCGAGCTAGACAAGAATGTAATTCTCGACATTATCGCATGTTAATAACTTAGAAGTACGAGGACTAACTGGGACGATTGTTATATTCAACTTCACTGCTAGAAAATACATCTTTAAATATTAGAACTAATATATTTGTCGGCTTGTATTTAATAATCGTAGGAAAACCTAAAAGAAATTTTATTTTCGGAAAAAATTTGTTGTTTTTCAACTATTAGAGATTATATGATTTCATCGTTGATAATCATGTTCTTTTAATGTATTATGAAATGTAAAAGATGAGTATGATCAATATGTATGAATTAAATCAGTGCAAAAAGAATTCAAAATACATAAAGAAGTTTTAGGAAGAACTTTTTTTAGAAATTAATAATATCACACATAAAATACTTGAATAATTGTTCGGATTATGAAAGAGAACGCCGCAATGTGTTGATTGTCAGCAGTTTACTTTTTTTCTCCAACCAACAATGTAGTCAATACTTACTCAGTAAAATAATTTATTCGTAAAAAGTTTTGCAATCTTTACACTGCTTTCACACGGAGTCACTTGCAAGATATTTCTGTGTGATGATATGTTTAAAGGCTAGATGACAGTAGAGATACGATAAACTTATCAGCAATGAAAATACTTGCAAGAAATATACCACGAAGAATTTTAGATCGATCAAAAATTACTTCATTGAATCTTTTATCACTAAACATAATCTTTCTATTATCATTTAGTAGATGAAGGTGAAGTTGAAAATCATCTTTGTGTTCAATTAACTGCTCTACAGCTTTTAAATTTGTTATTTCGCATAAGCAAGGGACGAATTTTTAAGCAATTTCAATTAGACCAACGAGGAAAGAAGATAATGACATTCTTTTACTTATAGATTTCTTCCTTAGCAAAACAAAGAAACAGAGAAAAATGAATCAACCTAAAGTTCAACTAAGTGTTATGTGATTGGCATTTCTATGTAACAGCAGCAATTATATTTGTTGATTGACTTTTAATTCGTCTTATTTTTTTTCAGTCCGTTTGCATCCTGATCAGTTTAGACCAGAAAAAATATTGTTGTCTGTCTCGTCAATATGAACATTGATTAAGTGGCATAGATAAGAATAAGAATATAAATATCATCTTTTATAAACAGAAAAGAATATAAATGAGAATAAATATGGAATATTCATGTGGTAGATTTACTGATTTACCTGATGAAATTCTTATGATTATTTGTAAAAAACTGAACAATTTTGATGTTCTTTACTGCTTAAAAGGTGTTAATCAACGAATAGATAGAATTGTTCATGATTCAACGTTCACAAGTCGTCTGAACTTTGTCAAATGGTCGAAATGTGGTTTTATCAATCTATTACATTGTGATACGATACTTAATCGATATTGTTCACAAATTTTACCTGATATTCATGATAAAATTAAATGTCTTAGTCTCGAAGCATCATCTATGAAACATATTTTATGTGCTACCGATTATCCTAATTTAAGTAGTCTTGCTCTTTACAATATCGACGAAGAGTCAATTCGATATCTTTCTACGAGTAAGAAATATTTTAATTGAATTATTTTTATCCTAAATAAATAGAAGATTTAATTGCAGATGACTATTACATCGCTGTTGTTATCCTTACTTTTTTTCTTGTTAATATTGTGTATCTATGTTTAGATGAAAATTTGTCGTCTGAAATTTTCAAAAATCAAATAAGAGCACTTGCTCTTGTGATTAATCGTAATCATGAGGGCTATGAAATGTTTGAAACAACAGCAAACATATTTAATTCCATTTTCGTTGTATTTACACGTCTGACCACTTTAATATTATCTGAATCATCGTATAAAAATCGTGTTCGATTAGCTTTTAATGATTCATTATTTTCCAATTTTCATTCTTCAACTCTTCTGCAATTGTTTATTAATGTACAATGTTTTGATGAGTGTCTTTGTCTTCTTGATGGTCGTTTTATTCATCTTCATACGCTCTATGTCGATTTGTCTAACATTCATTTTTCAGATGAAATTCAAACTCAAGTTAGTTGTATAAAAACTTTATGTTATGAAATGATGAAAGAGATTTTGTTTTGTTTTTTTTTCAGGCTGATTTACCAAATCTAAAACGGTTTTCTATCTCTTGCAATTATGAAACATGTGATTATAATGATATAATTCCTCCACTTTTACATCGAATGTTTAATTTAGAAGAACTCATTCTATGTCTTACAGTGTATCAAGATAATATGTTTCTTGATGGAAATAGTTTGAAGAAAGATATTATTAATCATATGCCACGATTAAATCGATTTTCATTTTCTATTGAGTCATTTATATTTATCAATAATCAAATAAATCTTCCATCAACAGAAGATATTCAATGCACATTCGTTGACTTTTCAAATAATAAAGTCATTTCCTATGTTGATTATTTTGCTAAAACTGGACATGGCCGATGTCTTAGTTATACTCATCCATCTCTAATGCAATATTATGGCATCATTACAAATAATTTTCCTGGTGGATCATTCATTAATGTTCGTATAGTGTCATTATTTGATGAACACCCATTTGAACATGAATTTTTTAATAGAATTCAAAAATCATTTCCATTTATGGAAAGTTTGTCTATTAAAAATGATAAACCACAAAATTTCAAACAATTTCATGGATCAATTAATGATAATCGAAATTTCTCTCTTATTGAATATCCTTTTCTTAATGAACTGACACTTGTTCGTGTTCATGATGATTATATAGAACAATTTCTACTTCATTGTAAAGCGTCTTTTCAAGATATTAATCTTTCTATCAATTATGAATCTTTACAACGAATAACACATGGTTTTACAAGAGATGCTACACGAATTAATTGCGCTAAGATAAACAAATTAGATTTATATGGTGCGGATAAAAAACATTGCAATTATTTACAAGAATATTTTCCTTGTGCAAAAATTTGTTATCGAGGAATATTTTGAAAAATATAGATGAAAGAAATAATTGTCTTGTTTATTGTTGTGAAAAACTAATGTATGGTGAGTTGTATTCTTTGACATAAATTGATTTTATTTAAATGTTAATATATATATATACATGTTCAAGGATTAAAAATTTCAAAAATTTTGACGTGTGAACTTTAAAATTTGTATCAATTTGATATTTGCCACTCCATGGAGTGAATCGTAACTTTATTGTACAATTGCATTTTTTAACTTTTTTCTTGTAATTCCAGTTCCTATGATGAAATCTCAAGGGGAAGATCATATACTCCAGTACTCCGCTGAACTCCGGGAGTAGATGGAAGTACACGGAGTACGTTGTTTTCCCCTTGTAATAATTCTCATGTTGTTAAATTCTGATGTTCTTTGAGTTTTTTCTTAATAATATATCACTCAAATCTACATCTCAAATGAATTCAAAATAATATCTAATAGAATTAACAAAATTGAGCAAAGCCAAAAATTTGATATTCGATCAAATTTATGTAATTATTGTTGATAGCAATAAAGATAACTATAACATGTAAAATACTGAGAAAGAACATTCCATTTTCGACACCATTCTATTGCAGAAACACATGTGACGACTGAACGTTTACATAAAGCAATCCGTTAATTATCAGATTTTTTCTTTCTTTCATAATATTGAATGAGTATTTTGAAGGTAATTCAATTTTAAAAAGCCATTATATATACAGAAAAAAAACTGTTTCTTTTTTCTTTTCTTTATTTGATGATGATAATTTTAAGTACATAAATGGCTGAAACAACTAAGGTAATATTTTTTTCCAGACACCTGACTAACAATCTACAGCACTTTTTTTGTAGTGATTAAATATTAAACAAGAAAATTGAAGAAAATGAAAGGAAGGAGAAACAGTAATGCTAGTTACTAAAACATTTATAAAACAATTTTAAAACATCAAGTCATCAAAGATGTTTTGGATAATTTTTGTTTTACTGGTATTTTCTACTGGTGATTGTATTCTTATCGGTAAAATGGATAATACTATAAGGATTGGTAATGTATATAAATCATTATGGAATATAACGCAAAGTCAGTGTATATGTGAAATGATAAATTCAAATGGAATAATGTCAACATTAAATTATTTTTCAATAAATCAAACTTGCCAATTATTTTATACAAACTACAGTTCGATTTTAATTGAATTTAAACTGAATTCTTCTTTAATATTTATGAATCAATCAGCAATATCCATAGAACTGAGTAAGTATATTATAAATATTGCAAAAATATTATAGTTTTGCTTTTGAATGCCATATATTTTTGTCGAATCCATGGAAGATACTCCCGCGACATTTGTTCTCCAATATTAACTGTCGATCGACAAGATGATCACTATTAATAGAAAGTGGGTGTGAACGTTGAAGACGATATAGTTGGAAAAAAGATTATAACACACATACACTCACGCTAAAACCCACACCCACACTCTCAAGATGGTTTTTTAATATCATATTTCTAATATAGATCAGATCACATCGACATCATCATCATCAACAACAACAACAACTACCATCACTACGACAACAACCACCACCACTACGACAACAACAACCACCGCGACAACATCAGCACGTAAGCGAATGAATATTTTCTTTTTAAACCTACTAAATGCAGCGACTAATTTAGTTAAATGTTGATCACACATCAGCTGAGTTGTTGATGTAAATCATTGTAGTTAGTAATTGTAAATTTTATCGACGAAGTTGTAGATTTTCTGTCTGATTATTTGGTAACATATACAGACTAGAGATACTATAAAATTCAGATATACACTTAAATGCTTGTAAAGAGTAAACAGGGCTGTCAAACACACATTTTTGAAACTAGGAAATGGCCGTCAAAAAACCGGCAGTTGACCAGGAGATTTTTACTGAAATATCAGAAAAAAATTAGAAAGCTATTGACTATCTTGTTTTAAAGAAAAGTAAAATGTTGGGAGACGTGATGAAAGCTTGATACTTTCCGTTCCTATGTTAATTACTATGATAGATGATGACGATGGTAAAGCAGCTGTAGATTTTGAATGATTTCTTGATAGAATAGAATTGAAATTTTCTACAGACGGTGTCACGAGGAACAAACTGATTTCTAGTGCTAGAAATTATTTGAAATCATATTGAGAGTGACAGTGTGAGATAAACAAAATACCCTCACCCACACCCATCCTCATGATAGATGGATATTTTTCTAAAAGAGCCTCTTAAATCATCGAGAAAATGTATTTTGATACAATATTTAAAATCCAATATAATTGTCAAATATTTTAATTTTGTCATTTAGCTGTTTGCGCTGACATTTGTCCCAGTAATCGGACATCTGATATTACTAGCACTTGTGGTCACACCTGTATTACTGATGCCAGTATTGGCAATCAACATGTTGGTTCTACCGGCACTTGTGGTATTAATTCTACTTATTGTGCTGGTGGCACTTATACTATAACTCGTAATACTTACAGCGATGTTAATTTTGATTGTAGCGCCTGCTGTGGTTGTGGCTCCTATGGTTGTTGTACTGGTATTGGTCTTTCTTCCAGTACGAATGTTTACTGTATTAAATGTAATTAATAATACACCTGATTAATCATCTTATTATATGCAAAATGGTCCACATATACAACAATCTTTTACTTCGAACTATAAACTGTTTCATTTAGACATACATAGTTCTTTCCCTATTGCACCACTTATCATGCTTTTTGCATTGATAATATGGACTATTTTGATTTTTTCTTTTACTCATTAACATAAGTAACGCACGTCATTACGACTCGCTTGACTCTCATTTGAATTCGATGTAACCATTATTTGTTGTTATGTGCTAAATCTGGCTTTAAGAACTATCGCTGTATATACACTGAGGTTTCCACCTCTTTCGCTTTTTTGCAGAGAAGTTTCACTATTTGGAATTTCTCCTGCAATACTTGTCCTTTTCGTTTTTTCAATAGAAGTTTTTCAGGAAAAATGAGCGAAATGCGAATGCAGTTCATTCATTATACTTATCTGATTCTGTTTTGGATTCTGTTCTATTAGTAGTTACTAACAATG